CCTCTACAGTCTGCACCTAGCTGGTCTATAGTCTATATACATAATATATGTACGCTAACACACCCCCTAGACTAGGTAGGGGCAGAGTCTAGCAAGACACAACAATCCAGGGCAGTACTACTAGTCTGGCCTCTGGAGTAGATGACAAGCAGCTTAGGGCAGCACTACTAGTCTAGCCACTGAGACAAGAGCAAGAAGGCCAGTCAGCAAGAGTAACAAGACCACCGATAAAGTCCTGAGGCCGAGCACCCTAAGGTCGAGCACCCTAGGGCCGAGCACCCTAGGGCCGAGCACCCTAGGGCCGAGCACCCTAGGGCCGAGCTCCCTAGGGCCGAGCACCCTAGGGCCGAGCACCCTAAGCACCACCACCTCCAGAGGCAGCACCCACAGAATCACCACCCCCAGGGGAAGCATTTCCAGAATCACCACCCCCAAGGCCCACGAACTCCCTTCCCCCCCCCCTCCCTCCCCGCTGCTGCTTTGCTGCTGCAGTGGAGGAGGCTGCGTAGGTGCGTGGGGCACTGGGGATGGAGAGAGGGGCGCCAAGGATGAGTCGCGAGAGACGGTGTGGATGGCCGTGGCTGTAACGGCGATGACGGCAGCGGCGGCAGCGGGAGTGGCGGCGACGATGGCTGGGGCAGCGGCAGCGGCGACTGCAAGGGCAGCGGTGGCAGCGGCTGAAGTAGCGGCGGCTGCAAGGGCAGCGACGGCAGTAGCGGCTGCAATGGCAGCTGTGGAAGTAGCGGCGGGAGTAGCGGCAGCGGCGGCGGAAAGGGCAGTGGAGGCAGTGGTGGCTGCAAGAGCAGCGGCGGCAGCGGCTGCAGTAGCGGCAGTGGATGGTTGCAGAGGCAGCGGCGGAGCGCCTGGAGTAGCGGCAGTGGCGGCAACGGCCGCTGCAAGGGCAGCGGCGGCAATGGCTGCAGTAGCGGCGTCTGCAACGGCAGCGGCGGTTGCAAGGGTAGCGGCGGCAGCGGTTAAAGTAACGGCAGTAGCGGCGGCGGCTGGAGCGGCAGTAGTGGCGGCTGCAGTGGCAGCGGCGGGAGTAGCGGCAGCGGCGGCAACGGCGGCTGCAAGGGCAGCGGCGGCAGCGGCTGCAGTAGCGGCGGCTGCAAGGGCAGCGGCTGATGGAAAGGCAGTGGGGAGCGGTAGTGGGCGGCAGGAGACCGAGAAGAAGCAGCAACAGCTGTAGCGGCGGCCGGAGTGGCAGGGCGGCGGCTACTGTAGCGGCGTTGACAACGGCAGCGGCTGTAGTAGCCATAGTAGGGGTGGCGGCGGCGGCGGCAGCGGCAGCAGCGGCTGCGGCGGCGGCAGGCGAGGGGTGGGCTGACGGCTAGCACACGGCAAAGGGATAGGTGCAGTTGTTGGCGAGTTTGCGATGGAAGGGGAGCTGGCGGCATGATGCGAGGTGCGGCCGGGCGAGTGGCAAGCGTAGGAGATGACGAGCGGCCAGTCAGCGGCGAGCTGCTGGCGGCGAGTTACTGACGGTTAGGTGGCGGTGAGCTGCTGACAGCAAGCTGCTGGCGGCGAGTTGTGGCCGACGCGGCGAGCAGAGGCCGGCGCGGCAAGCAGGATCCGGGGCGGCGAGCAGGAGCGGGGGGCAAGCTGGGGCCGACGCAATGAGCAGAGGGCGGCACGGCGAGCTAGGGCCGGCGCAGCATGCAGGGGCCGTAGCGGCGGAGGCCGTCGCGGCGAGCAGGGGCCGACGCGGCGAGCAGGGGCCAGCGAGGCTAACAGAGGCCGGCGGCAAGCAGGGGGCCGGCACGGCGTGCTAAGGACGGGGCGCTCTAAGGGCGGGGCGCTCTAAGGACGGGGTGCATGAAGGGCGGGGCGCTTTAAGACTAAGGTAGGCTAGGGGCGGAAGCGTGAGTAGGTGGGACCTAACCTAGCTCTGATACCATGTAAGAATAGCGAGAGAAGATTGAGGAAGAGGGGTTAGAGAAAGGAGAGTACAGGATTCAAGTATAGGGGCTGTCCCCTCTACAGTCTCCACCTAGCTGGTCGATGGTACATATATAAAATATATGTACGCTAACAGCATGCACATTGTGTTAGAATGTCGAGAGAAAATTGACCTAAGGGAGGAAGGCTGAGAGTTACAAAGGTGGGAATGTACCTTGTAAGAACTGACCTAACTAAGGCTATAACAAATATACTGTACCTAGCATAGACTATTATATTTGTTGACACACCCCCTAGCCAAGATAGTGGCAGTTCCTAACAAAGAAAAGTACACCAGGGCAGCACTACTAGCTCTGATGAGTGTAATAAGAAAAACTCAGGGCAGTACTACTAGTCTGACCACTAAGACAAGAGGCCACAAGGCCAGTCAGCAAGTGTAGCAAGACAAGCAGGTATATCACAACAAGTAGAGGCAGGTATAGTATGACTCAGGATACAAGGAGAGGTGCTGCTACTGAGGCTAGACCAAGCAGAGTACAGAACCGCTGATGGTCACGAGATGCAAGTGCCTTGGTGAAGATATCAGCGGTGTTGGCCTCTGAGGCCAACTGTACTACACGGACCTGACCGCCCTGCTGCAACTCTCGCAGCAGGAAGTACCGCAGCTGGATGTGCTTCGCTCTGCCCTCAAGTCGTGCCTCCTGACACAAGAGGATCATGGCCCTGTTGTCAGCAAACAGGACCGGGGCAGACCCAGGTTGCTCACCTAAGTCAGTGAGCAAGAACATCAGCCAGCGGAGCTCCTGAGCAGCCATGGCCCCAGCGTAGATCTCTGCCTCACAGCTGGACTGTGCTACAGACGATGACCTGGTGGACCTCCACGAGACTGCACTTGCACCAAGACTAAAGCAGTAGCCGTGAGTCGACCTGAGCGTCTCCAAGTCGTCAGCCCACGACGCGTCTGTGTGTCCAGTGAGCACCACTCGCTCCCGTCCTCCTAGCACAAGCCCCAGTCCTGATGTGCTCGCCACATACTGCAGTACCCTCTTGGCAGCCGACCAGTGGACTGGTCGGTGCCTGCCTGTCGCGACAAAGCAAGCCAGGAGATTGAGAGAGTACGCTAGATCTGGTCGAGTGCAGGTCATCAGGTACATGAGGCACCCCACCAGCTCTGCGTATGGACCAGTAGCCTCGACTGGCTCAGCCGGAACAGGAGCAAAGAGCTTGTGATCCACAAGCAGGGGGGTGGGCTGTGCTAAGGAGAATTGGAGACTAAACCTCTGGAGGATCTGCTGCACCAAATGGGACTGGGAGAGTGTGATCGTGCGAGCGGCACGGTCACGAGAGATCTCCAAGCCCAGATAGCACCTCAGCTCCCCCAAGTCTGTACAGATGTGTCTCGTAAGTAACTCGGCCTTCACTGAGGCCAGTGCGACTCTGTCAGGAGTAGCAACGATAAGATCATCTACGTATACTAGAATGTAGAACGGTGTCTGACCCGTGTGAACAATGAGAGAGGGGTCAGCAAAGGACGGAAAGAACTGCAGCTCAGCAAGAGTGGTGCGAGGCGCGTTGTGCCACTTACGGGGTGCCTTACAAATGACGTAGACAGGACGGCGCAGGCTCCACTCGGTCGCAGGTGGGAAGGACCCAGAGAAGCCTAGATGGCGCCGGAGGTAGATCTGCTCGTGCAGACTACCCTGCAGGAACGTTGTGGAGAAGTCGAGTGAGTGAAGCTCGTAATCACGCTGTGCGGCTATGTGAAGAAGGATCCGAAGAGTAGTCATCTTCAGGGTCGGGGAGAAGGTCTGGAAGAAGTCCACTCCCTCACGCAAACTGAAGCCTCTAGCCACGTAACGCGCCTTGAACTTCGGCGGCTCTCCAGGTGCCCGCTTCACCCTGTAGATCCACATGCCATCGACTACGTTCGCCCCAGGCGGGGGAACTGCATCGATGTAGGTGCCAGTGGATCTGTAGGATGCCATCTCAGTCTCCATGGCATGTATCCACTGGGCTGCCCAGGGCCCCGACACCACCTCAGCGTAAGAGCGTGGAACAGGGATGTCGAGAGCATCTGGTTCGCCCTCTGGGGATACAAGCATGGAGCACAGATGGGGAACAGCGGCAGCAAGGTAGGCCAAATCGTACTGCTTGTCCTCTAGCACGTCACTGCCAAGGGCAGGTGCACCCACGACGGACGGAGGACGGACAGTACCAGAGACCAGAGCGGCAGCGTAGTCAAGGCGGTGGCTAGCAGCGGTTGCTAAAGCGGCTGCAGCGGCAGTTGCAACAGTGGCCTCGGCGCCGGTGCAAGTGGCTGCAGCGGCACAGCAAGCGGCAGAGCAAGCTGCAGCAGTGGCAGAGGTAGTGGCGTCAGTTGGCGCTGCTGACTAGTTCGGGTAAGCGGCAGGCGGGAGCTGGCGAGCTGGTGCTGGCGGCTAGTAGCTGGTGAGCTGGCGCTGGCGGCTAGCAGCTGGCGAGCTGGCGGCTAGTAGCTGGCGAGCCGGCGCTGGCGGCTAGCAGTTGGCGGCTAGCAGCTGGCGCGCTGGCGGCTAACAGCTGGCGAGCTGGCGCTGGCGGCTAGCAGCTGGTGAGCTGGCGCTGGCGGCTAGTAGCTGGCGAGCTGGCGCTGGCGGCTAGCAGCTGGCGGCTAGCAGCTGGCGAGCGAGAGCTGGCAGCTAGCAGCTGGCGAGCTGGCGCTGGCGACTAGCAGTTGGCGAGCTGGCGCTGGCGGCTAATAGCTGGCGAGCTGGCGCTAGCGACTAGTGTTGGCTAACGGAGGTGAGCTGGCGCTGGCAAGATGGCGGGCTGGCTGGCGCTGGCGTCAGGGACGAGCTACAATCGAGCGGGGGGGGGGGAGAGGGATCGGCGACTAATGAAGGCGCCAATGTGGCGCGGGCTAGCGGAGACTGGCGCTGGTCGGCACTAGCTGGTGGCGGCTGGCGCTAGCCGACGCGAGCTACGCGATGAGCAGAGTAGGGCGGGGAGGGGACGATCTACACGGCGCGCAACTAGGGGCGAGGCGCGCTAGGCTATGGTGTGCTAAGGCGGAAGCGTGAGTAGAGGGCGAGACCTAGCTCTAGATGCCATGTTAGAATGTCGAGAGAAAATCGAGCCAAGGGAGGAAGGCTGAGAGTTACAAAGGTGGGAATGTACCCTCTAAGAACTGACCTAACTAAGGCTATAACAAATATACTGTACCTAGCATAGACTATTATATTTGTTGACACATTCCACTAGGGTCAGGAGCAGACATGACCTGGCAGGCAGGCAAGTAAGAAAGTGACTGCAGCACAAGGCAAGATAGCAGGGATGGACCCATCACGAGGCTGCTGCAGCTGCTGCTGCTGCTGTTCCCCCCTCCCCATCCGCCACAGCATGGATGCAGGCATCGCTGAGCCTGTCGACGAGTTGTCGCAGCAGCTGCTTCTTCCCCAGCCGGAACCGCACCACCATCTCGCGCTGCCCTAGCGTGCGCATCACCTGCGCCGTGCACACACTGGCATCAAACTCCACACCTTCGCACCCACTAGCACCGCCACCCCCATTTCCCCCCTCCCCTGGCGTCCCTTGAGCCTCACCTCCAGCTGCACCCTCCTCTCCAGCCCCGTCCCTCCTGCTATCCGCATTCCCCTCTGTGCTGGCCCCTGTCGCCCCATCCCTTCCCGCGGAACCTGCATTGCCCTGTGCGCCCTGCGCCCCTGCGAGCCTGCACCCCGCCAGCGTGCGCAGCAGCTGCTGGTCGGCCTCCGCGGAGGTGGCGAAGGCGGAGAGCACCTGCTGCGCGCGCTCAGAGATGGCCTCCACTGCCGCAGCTAGCGCCTCCACCAGGTGAGCGGGGATGGGGGGAGAGGAGGCGGGGGGTGGGCATGCTGGGTGGAAGGGGTTGCGGGAGAAAGCGACTGCTGTGCGGGCGAGCTGCTGCCAGTCCAGGTCTGGTGCAAGAGCGGGGGGGGGGGGGAGTGGAGAGGGGAGCAAGGAGACTTGGAGTTACATGTATGGTAATGGAGAATGGGGAAGAGCACAATGACTAATCTTACAAGGCCTACAGGGGGAAGGAGAGGAGGGGGATCGTTAGAGGCAGACGAGAAAGGCAAAGAACGGAGCTTTGCTGCTATTGGAGTGAAGCCAGGTTTGGAGAGAAAGGGGGATGAAGCAGAGAACGTGAGGAAAGGGTGGGGGGAGTAACCAGAAGAGGCACATCTGCAGCAGGGTGACACGAGGGCTGTAAGCACGCATGGCCCTCACCTTCCCACTCCTTCCATTTGAACCACACGGCAGCAAGGGCAGCCACCAGGCGTGGCTCCACCTGCCCATCGGCACCAGTGTTGTACGCCCCGCCATCCACCTCGTCCCACAGTGACAGCGGCAGCGGGTACTGCTGCAGCGCGCCTGCAGTGCCAGCGGCGCCATCCCGCATGACCTCCGCATTGACGGCGTCCTCTGCTACCTCCAGCGCCCCTGTCAGCGCCGCCTCTTGCTCCTTGGTGAGCTTGGGGTCGTACCACTGGGACGCACCACTGCTGCTGCTGGTGCCCCCTGGCGTGCGCAGCCGGTGCAGCGAGAGCAGGAAGGCGAGCAGCGAGTCGGAGGTGTGGAAGAGCGGCACGCGGTCGTGCGGGTTGAACGCCGGAAGCTGGCCGTGCAGTGCAAAGAGCACGTCGTTGGGGAGAGCGCCCAGGTTGAGGGAGAGAGGCGCGTTGGGGGGGATGGAGGCGAGGGCGCGGAAGGTGATGGTGGAGGCGGGGTCTGCAGAGGAGTGGGACTCCGATGCTGTCTCCTGCTCATGGATGTATGGCACGCATGGCATCATGGGCATGGCATCATGGGCATGGAATCATGGGCATGGCATCATGGGCATGGCATCACGGGCATGGCATCATGGGCATGGCATCATGGGCATGGTATCATGGGCATGGCATCATGGGCATGGCATCATGGGCATGGCATCGTGCATGCGCCAATCAAGGAAGAGAAAGAGCAGAGAAGGGAATGTAGGGGCGGACGGAGGTTGTGACGAGTGGAGTAAGGACCACACAAGGTGACACTTGGGCGATGATTGGGAGCCACTCTCCGAGCATAGAATAAAGATTCAAACCTTCCGAGCGAAGGCTCGGCGGCCCCAAGCTAGGGTTCTACACCACGGGCAGAGCCGAAAATCTGAAAAAAAAAAAAAAAAAAAAAAAAAAAAAAAAAAAAAGTGGTCGAGCCTAGCGCCAAATGCGCGGCTCATTCACCTAGCCAACGCTGGATGTTTGCTACAGTAAAACATTCGGCCCCCCCATCGGCAGAAGGGTTCCGCGGCGGTATTCGCGAATAAAGGCTGGATGCGTGGTTTGGATTCCTGGCCCCCAGCATGCAGGCTTATTCCTCTCAATCGGGCAATCTAAAAAATAAATCCATACACTCACACCCAGGGGCAACCAGATGGATATGCTCTTTCTTCCCAAACCACGCCAGGTCAAACTGTGGCTTGAAATTCGCGGATTCCCCAGTGGCGAGCCCGTCTACAGTGGCGAGCCCGACTACAGTGGCGAGTCTCGTTCTGAAGAAATCCAAACCAGACGCGAGGCTTCCGTAGGGGGGGCTCGCGCTTTCGTTTAGCTCCCCCCCTCCTCCCCCCTTTCCCCCCCACGCGCATGTCAGTCGGGTCGCGTTCGGGGTAGGTATCGGTGGCACACGAACCCCTCTTGACCAGCGACACCCATCTGCCCCATTTCGTCCCCCCTTCCCAGATGTTCATTCCCAGTGGCTCCCGATCATCGCCTTGGTCAACAGGCTCAAGGGGCAAGCCGCACTCAGCACAAGAACGCCGACCAATGACATGATCCCAAGCACAGTAGAACCGCGCAGCACTGAAAGTAGCCAAGCAACCGAAATCGCACATCCGTGCTTGCCCCTGGCGGCAGCCAAAGAATAAGAGCACCGTAACCTGGACCAAAAGGTGCTGCGCCTGCCGTGCTCCCCGCGTACCCCCACGTGCCCCACTTGCAGCGTACCTGCCACTTCCACTCCACGTTGGGCGAGTGCGAGTGGACGAAACCAGCCGGCAGCGGCAGCAGCAGCAGCGGCCCACTGAAGCGGCTGCGCCTGCCCTGCCCTGCGCCCGCCCCCATCCACTGCTCCACCCACCGCAGGCTGTCCGCCAGCTCCTCTGCACTCGTGCCCACCCACTGCTGCTGCACCACACTGCACCCCGTGGCACCTGCGGCAAACTCCCCGCCACCAGCAGACGCAGAACAGAAGCCCTCACTGGAGCCAGCGCTGCCACTGCCGTCCCCTGCCGCGCTGCCGGCACCAGCACCAGCAGCAGCAGCATGAGCAGTGGGTGCGCCCTCCTCCTTCTCCTTCTTCTCCCTGGCCCGCACTGCTGCCACCACCTTCCCCACAGGCGAGGCGGCAGCAGCAGTGGCGGGCAGCTGCGAGGGCAGCAGCCCGTGCGGCATGTGCGTGTAGGGCAGCAGTGGCAGTGCGCGCGCCAGCACAAGAGAGAGCGCCCAGAAGAAGTGCGACTTGGAGGCGCGAGCCACCGCCTTGGCCTTGCTGCGCAGATACTCCTCCTCAAACGCCTCGCGGTACAACGCCAGCTAAAGGGGACAGGGGGAGTTCACACGAGCAGGAGGATTGAAGGGAGGGAGGTGGGGTTTGAGGGGTCAGCGATTGGGGGAGGCAGAAGCGGAGCAGGTAAGAAAAAAGTGGAGGGCTAAGGGGAAAATGAGAGGACGTGAGAGCAGCCAGGGATAACCTCACGGTGAAGATTCCCACGGCAGAGATACCTGAGGTGATGCAGGCAAGGACGTGAGACGCACCGCAATAGAGAAACAAAGGCAAAAAGAGCAAATGCTGTGCAGATCAAACACGGATGGCACTTGCACAGCGTTGCAAGCACTGCAGCAGAGGGGGCAGAGGCAGGGGGAAGGAAGCCCACATACCCGGCGCAGCATGGGCGGGTAGTCGAAGAGCTCCACCACCTCGCGCTCAAACAGCATCGGCACTGGCGCGTACTGCGGCAGGCTGCCGATGAACGCCGCCCACTTGGACTTGGCGCCCTTGGCGCGCTCCCTGAGCAGCCATGCGGCGAGCACGGAGGCGGCGGTCCACGGCTTCTCCTTGCGCGACACGTTGTACGGCAGCAGCTTCGGCTCCTCCTCCGCCACGCGGTCCGCCGTCACCAGCAGCGGCGCGGGCACGTACAGCGCTGCGGCCGATGCGGGCAATGCTTGCTGCGCCACGAGGATAGGCTGCGCGCTGGATGCGTGCACGTGGGAGGGATGGCGGAACGGAAGGGGGGTGCAAGGGGTATGTATGATGAGACGTGCGGACAGAGTGGGCGCGTGAGGATGGGAGGGAGGAAGGGAGGAAGAGGTGGAGGGGAGTGGCGGATGGTAGTGGCGGATGGGAGTGGCGGATGGGAGTGGCGGATGGGAGTGGCGGATGGGAGTGGCGGATGGGAGTGGCGGATGGGAGTGGCGGATGGGAGTGGCGGATGGGAGTGGCGGAAGGGAGTGGCGGAAGGGGCAGGCGGCAGCAATAGAGAGTTCAGGGAGGGTAAGTTGAGCTCGTGACAGAAGGTCCTCCCGGGCTGCTGTGCTCTGTTGTGTTGTGATTGCGTGGGGGGACAGAGAGGGGCGTGTGTGGAGGAGTGGTGGTGGGAGGGAGGAAGCCGGCGAAGGGCGACGGGGCGTGGTGTGTGCTTGGGAGACGCACGGGGGGAGATGTGCAAACACTGGGACTGCGGACGGGGCTGAGTCGGCGACAGTGATAGGGAGGGGGAGAGGGAGCGGGGGGGGGAGGGGAAATAGAAGGTAAGGAGAAAGGGCAGCAGCAGGGAGGAGAAGGGAAAGGCGCTTACGTGGAGCCAGGAGAATCACTAGAGGAAGCGGAGGAGGAAGGTTGAGGGCACGCGGAATGTTTGGGAGATTCGACCTGGAGGGGGGGGGAGGGGAAAGGGGGGCACGCAATGGGGTTGAGAGTGGTGGGGGGGTGTGGAAGGGGGACATTACAGAATGCGGACAGGAGCCGAGCTGCAGTACGGCAGGCGAGTGGGGGCGAGCGGGCGCGAGGGAGCGGGGCATGGGGAGGAACATGGGCCGGAAAGTGGGTGCAGACAGGGGGACGGCGTGGGGAGCGCAGTATGCGCCGCACACGTGACTAATCATAGGTATCAGACAGAGGGCGGATCGGCGCACACACTCACACCAACTGCGCCGTCCGTCCCCCCAATGCCCTGCGCCCCTTGCTCCGCAAGCCACGCGTTCACCGCCGCTTGGTTCCCCCCATCAAGCCCCGCCGGCCCGTCCCCAATCTCCCCCAGCCGCAGGAGCGCGATGCCTTCCACGGCGGGCGGCGCGCGGTCGAAGGCGTGCAGCGGGGACGGCATGATCGCCAGCTCCCCCACGTCCAGGTCGCGCCACCTCGCCGCGGCCGGCGCGGTGCTGGCGGGCGCGGGGAGAAGCGCGGAGACGAGGAGCGCGCAGAAGAGTAGGCGGAGGGCTGTGGGGAAGCGGAACGCAAGGGGAGGGGGATTGTGATGGCGGAGGCACTGCGGAGGGGGGAGAGCTGACCGTACAACTCAATCCCTTCTGCTTCTCTCCCGAAACGGATCATGCTCGCTGTACGCGCTACAAGCGACAGAAAATAGAACGGGAAAGCCGGCTTTTAAGCCCGATGGTGCGACGAGCAGCACCGCGAACTTACTGGTACTGGCGAGAACAACATTCGCGGGGCAATGTGCGCGCGGGATGGACGCCATGGGCCGAGCGCGAGGCGAGAGGCAGAGGCGCGAGCGATAGTGGCGGGGAGATCCGGTCCGGAGTGATTGAAAGGTGGGCTGGCGGTACCCAATGCACGCACGATACATCTGTGGCGCGGTTTCTACCTAGGGTAGTCGGGATGTACTTTCTCGCCAACTCAAGCTCTTGGGGATGATATTTCCCATCATCTCGTGCGACGTCGCATTTGCATCGCAGGGTTCGTGCGCATGTCTCAACTAAACCGTTACAGGCAGGAACCCAGCACATGATATTGTCTCGGGCTGAGGAGGAGATACACTAGGAGGATACAAACCATCTTTCTTCATCCCTCCGTAGGTACTCTGCGTACATGCTTACGTCCCTTTCCTAGAAACAATACTATAGGCTGCATTCACTCACATGCAGCAGCCCCAATTGTAAGCTAGACCAACTGTACACTTTGACAAAACCTGGTAAACTAAAATAGCAATTCTAGAAATACAAATCCATTCCACAAGCTGTGAAGCAAGATGGAGGCTAGCAAGTTCCTAGAGCGGACAAAGACAACACCAATAACAAGGCCGAGGAAGAAGAGAGGGAGCATGCGTTGCAAGGAGAAGTGCGCGAGTGCAAACACCATCGCACTGACCACCACCGACGCCCACAGGGGGAAGTACCGTGTGAGGGATGGTAGGAGAAACCCCCTGAACACAACTTCTTCCCACACGGGCGCACACACAGCGACAGCGATGGCATAGAGCAGAGTGGCAATGGGGTCGTGCGAGTGAATGGACTGCTCCAAGTGCGTCGTGGCCTGGAACTTCAGGGGCAGCGGCAGCAGCTGGAGGTTGAGCTTTGACAGCAGCTGCACAAAGGGGAAGAAGGAGCAGGCAAGCAGTGCTTGCAGGTACCAGCGGCCCGACAGGTGCACGGGGAACCAGTGGGGGGGCAGGGGCTGGAAGCGCGTGAGGCAGCGGTTGAGGATGGCGATGCCAACAGTCATCTCCGCCAGGTCCGTCAGCAGGCTGTACAGCGCGTGCGCCCGCAGCGACATGGCCGCCCGCCGCAGCCCCAGTGCCTGCGCTAGCAGCGGCACGAGCCACGAGCCGATGAGCCAGAAGGCGAGGAACCAGAGGAACATGACCTGCGGGTGCCATGGTGGAAGGGCGTGCAGCAACATGTAGGAGGGGAGCAAGGCATGCAAGAAGGAGAGTTAGGCCAGAGACATGAAGTCACCCTAAACTCACAGCCCGAGCCCACACCCTCAAGTCATGTGGCATGTGCGCATGGCAGCATGGCAGTGGCAGTGGAGTCACCTGGAAGATGGTGTCCCCCTGCCACGGCACAGTCCAGATGCGCTCCTCTGCCGCAGACCCAAACACCAGCCTGCCCCACTGGCTGCGCACGCGCGACAAGTGCACGCCCGCTCGCGCCCACTGCCCAACCAGCCAGTGCCAGCTGGCAGGCAGGTCGTGCAGTGCATTGTCCACGTGTGCGTTCTCCTCGTTCTTATCCCCGTCTGCTTGCGATGTTGCTGCCCTCGCCCTTTCTCCTCCTCTCCCTCCTTCTGGCCCCGTTTCTTTATCTGTTCCTGGCCCTGTTTCTGCTGCTCCTAGCGCTTTCCCCTGCGCGCCATCCCCCCGCCACGGTTGTTCCCCCTGCACCTGCGCTCCCCCTTGTCCTTGGTCCCCCTGCCCCTCCCCCTGCAGCTCTCTGTCGCCCCATCCCGCGCTCCGCGCGCCCTTGGGCAGATTGCGCGCCTGGCGGGGAAGGAGAGTGGGCATGGAGGCGGGTGAAGAAACGCGGACGTGAGACAAAAGCGATGGCCAGGGATCGGACGAGACACGCGGACGACGCAGGGCGGGACGGAGGGAGAAATGAGGGAGGGAGGGAGAGAGGGGGTGAGAGCGGGAGGGGGGGAGGTCGCTAGGGTGGAACGGCAAATCCGAGAAGCCTGGAGCGGGAAGCATGTCTCCGTGGCGAGCGCTGTTTCTCGCCTAGCGCTACCCCGATCTCAGCATGTTCATCCCCCCTTGCGAGCATGATCATTAGCCACAGCAACGCTCATTCGGGCGCATATGCGCGGGGAGATCGCAGCGGGGGAGGGGAAGGGGCGCCGTGCCTGGGAGAAGCGCGAGGACGGCAGCGGGGGACCCGCGCACGACACGCAGCCTTGGGCGCCGCACACGCCACATGCCCCGCCAGACGCCCTCCCCACGCCTCTCCGCAGGCCGTCGCGTCCCCGGCTCCCGCCACCTCCCCCGCTTCCCCCACCCTCCCCGCCCGAGGGCGCGGACGACTGCGCCGCGGGCTTTAGCGACGGGCGGGGCTTTGCGGTCAAGGGGCGGGGGGGCACAGAGGTGAAGGGCAACGCGCGACGTGGCGAGGGGAGAGCGCACGGGCGCAAGCCGACGGCGTCTGCAGCATGCGGGGAAAGGGGGAAAGATGGGATAGGGGTATCAGCGGTGGGCGGAGACAAGCGAGGGGCAGGAAAGAGTGGCAGGTTGTGGAGCGGCAAAGTGCGGCCCGGTAGTGGCGGGGATACGCGTGGCTCCGACGCGAGAGAGGCGGGACTGCGACGGGCGGATCGTCAGCAGCAAAGATAGCACGGCAGAGAAAGCGATGTGCGATCGGCGATAGAGGCAATGGTGAGGATGGGATCGGCGACGATCGAGCGGAGCGAAACCGCGAAGTGCGATCAAACAGGCCCACCTGATCCTAAAGCAGGGATCGCGATCGAGCGAGCATCCGGTAGTCCGACATAAGTCGCCATACTGGGAAAGGCGGGCAGCCCTAAAAACGAAGGAAATGCGCGTGTACGGGGTTCACATAAAGGCGTAACTCTAGGAACCAATCGGCAGAGGCCAGTCAGGTTCACTCTCCGTCTGTGGGCAGGGACGCTATGGCCAGCAGCTGGACAGACTCTTTCCTAGGGTTGGCTGCAAGACATGCGTAGTGCACGACGATGGATGTGGGGTGAGATCGAAGCAAGGGGGAGAGGTGGGAGACGGGCGCATCACAAACTTGTAGACACATGTGCCATGGACCTAGCCTTTGTACAGAATGCCGTCTCTGTAATCCGCCGTGCACTAGCGCGTACGAATTACCCTCGAGACTTCCCAAGCCAAAACCAATGCCAGGGGTGAGAAAACCTCGTTTGTGTCAATACCGAATGAAAGCATTTCTGCAATATTGGCATTCTGTAGGTTGATATTCCAGTTCGTACAACTTACAGTTACCATGATATCTGTAATCATTTACTCACCACTCTAAATACCTTAGTTTATGCCAGACAGGAAAACGGACAATTTAGTGTAACGAAAAGGCTTCGTGTAAGGAATTTCCCTTCCTTACTGAGTCGTACGCTAGCGCGTACACCCGAATTCCTCGACTCGTCACGTTTCGGCCTCATTTGTTGGCCCAACCCTCTCCCAATTTGCGTTCCGGCACTGTCGCCATATTGCTGAACCTACCCACGTTCCGAGGTTATCGCCCTAACACGAGGCGGGTGAGCAGCAACTGTCGCCGGTGGAGCTCGCACGACTATCGGCAACAGCCCCGCGCTCGACAAGTGGCAACGTAAGATATCAGGAACTCGCTCATTTCGACCCAGCTAGTAAAGGCGTGACGGTGCGGTAGTGGATATTCGCCATGAATATCTAGTTTAACGCGGCGGGCATCCGAGACGATCAGAAGTGGATCAGCCACGCGTTAACACTGTTGCAAGGGGCCGCCCTACAGTGGTGGAAGGTCATAGTTGACTCAGCGGCAAATCGCATAGAAGACGGTATGAGTGGTCCGAAGAATTCGGCAACGAAGACGAGGCAGACTTGTTGTTCGGTGCGACCCACATTCGCACGTGGGCAACGTGGTGCACAGAGCTTCGCAAGCGGTTTGAGCATGCCCCAAACTCAGACAAGGCACGTGAAACTCTACGCATATGGAAGCAGCTGGGATCTGTGTCCGAGTACGCCGCGACATTCTTGACGTTGGTGGACACATGTGGCTACATGCACGAGTTGGAAAGGTCAACAAGTACATGGGCGGCTTGAAGCCCGAAATGCAGTACCAGATAAAACTCCAATGCCCTGCGAAGCGGTTACAAGGCTACATCCAGCTCGCCGAATCCACCGTTTCGCTCACGAAGCCAAGGACGAACTTCTACGACGGAGGTCGCCCTCGAGAACAGTACCAGTGCGCCATGATAAAAGGGGTGGACGCAGTGGATATTTACGCAATTGCTCCGCAAAATACGGAGCTATGCTACCACTGTGGCCGGCCGGGTCACATCCGACGCAACTGCCAAGAATTCATAGCCCTCCAGAATTCTATGGGAAAAAACCCGGAAGAGCGACCGAGAAATGGGTCGCGTCAGTAAGTACCGGGCCCCTTACTGATGGGCAGGCTTCTTCGCCCGAGCCATACAGTCCCCACCGGGTCGTGATCCCGATTGCTGCAATCGACCAGACCCGGACGAATAAGGGGGACGAAACTGCTGATCACCCTGTATTGGTGGAGGGTAAAGTCAACAGAGTGTTATTGAAGATTTTCGTTGATGGAGGCGCGAGTCACAGTCTCATACAACTAGACAAGGCTAAGAAATTTGGTATACCCTTACTCAAGTGTCTACCCGAAATCGACGCCCGACTGGTGGACGGAACACCGCTGGTGATACGGGAACGGGTGGAGAACGTTGGTTTTACCTGTGGGGAGCATGGAAAATTTTGGATGGGACTGCTGGCGACTACTCTCGACAAGTGTGACGTGCTGCTCGGATGCGATTGGTTGCGACGGTACAACCCGAAGATTGATTGGAAGACGGGTGGCTGCAGCATCAAGCTCGATGGGATCTCCCGCGAGCTGCCCAAGTGGACGGGGCCTCGCTGTACTCCCGACCTGAGGACCACCGAATCGAGCTGGAACCAAGCGCCCAACCAACGGTACAGCGCCAATTTCGGCTCAGCCAACCAGAACTGGAAGAATTACAGCAGCAGCTGGATTACCTTCTGACGACAGGATTTATCCAGCCCAGCACGTTACCATTCGCCGCCTCGATACTGTTCACGCTGAAGAAGGATAGAGGATTCAGAATGTGTATCTACTACCGAGCGCTCAACCGGATCACCATCAAGTCGCGTTACCCGATCCCGCGAGCCGACGAACTTCTCGACCAACTTTGCGGCGCCAAGTTTTTCTCGAAAATCGCATGCGATGAGGTTACTATCAGATTCGCGTTGCCGCTGAAGATTGTCACAAAACGGCATTCCGAACCCGCTACGGCAGCTACGAGTACCTGGTGATGCCTTTTGGCCTCACGAATGCACCCTCGACCTTCCAGATGACCATGAACGGAATTTTCAGGGAACTCTTGGACAAATGCGTCATCATCTACCTCGACGATATCCTAATCTAGAGCTGCAGCAGGGAGCAGCACTTACAGGATCTTGATGTAGTCTTCACGCTGCTCCACAAGAATCGCCTCATCATCAAAGGGTCTAAGTGTGATTTTCTTAAGCAGAAGTTGGAGTTTCTGGGCCACATCGTCTCTACTGAAGGAGTGAAAATCGACCCCAAGAAAATCAATACCATACAGGAATGGAAGCCGCCAAGCAACATCAAGGAGCTGCAGAGTTTTTTGGGATTCGTCAATTACGTCCACCAGTTTATCCCCAATATTGCTTGGTAATCTGCCCCGCTAACTGATCGACTCAAGGATCACGATTGTTTTTGGTGGGGAGAGAAGCTGCAAGCTGCATTTGACCAGCTGAAGATCGCCCTCACGTCGCCGCCCGTCCTTCGCATCGCCGATCCTGACCGTCCATACGAAGTCATTACCGACGCCAGCGCCATCGCCATCGGTGCAGTTATTCTACCGGATTTCGGCGACGGATTACAGCCGGTCGCCTACGAATCACGGAAGCTGTAGGGCGCAGAGAAAAAATATACGGTACACGATAAGGAAATGTTGGCGATCGTCCACGCGTTCAACACCTGGCGATGCTAGCTGACAGGTGCTGACGTCACTGTGCGGACCGACCACAAATCCCTCTAGTACCTGCGAGCCCAACCGAACCTCAACCCGCGACAGATCCGATGGCTCGATTTCCTCGAGTTAAACTTCCACTACGCCATCACCTACAAACGGGGCGCCAACAATATTGCTGATGCCCTAACCAGACCCACTGCCCATACAACCACCATACTAGTCGCCCAAACCAGCCCACTTCTTACCGGACTATTTACCCACATCTACAAAATCGACCTCTTTTTCCGCTCCGCTATCCACCAACAGCATACCACCGCTACCGGACACTACTTTAATAAGCGCGACACTTCCCGCATCTGGGTTCCCGGCTACGATTTACTTCGTACCCTTCTTATCCCAGAATCCCACGACACTCCTACCTCCGGGCATTTCGGAGTCGACAAAACCACGAAGACGTTGCACCGCATTTATTATTGGCCGAACATGCCCGACGACGTGCGCAAGTATGTGTCCTCCTGCACCGCCTGCCAGATTATGAAATCATCCCATCAGTGAGCAACCGGACTCCTACAGCCGTTGTATCCGCCCGAGCGACCGTGGCAACACATCACGATGGACTACGTGACAGGACTGCCGGCCAGTCCCAGCGGAAACGACGCCATCCTCGTGGTCGTTGACCGACTCACAAAAATGGCGCACTTCATCGCCTGCCAACAGAAAATTACAGCTGAGCAAACCACCCAACTATTCATCGCCAACGTCATCAGACTGCACGGACTGCCCAACGCCATTATTTCTGACCGAGACCCGAAATTCACATCGAATTTCTGGCGCCACTTGTAGGACCAATTCGGCACCAAACTACAGTTTTTCTCCGCCTACCAGCCACGGAACGACGGGCAGACTGAACGAGTCAACCAAACTATGGAACAACTCATTCAGACTACCTACATTGACCTACAGACATGGGAGAAATCCCTTCTGCTGCTGGAATTCGCGTATAATAACGCGCCTTCCGCCACAACCCATCAGTCCCCATTTTTCCTCAATGACGGACAGGACCCCGTGTTACCCTCTACACCAAATATCGAGACACTCGTGCTCCGGTCCCAGTGATTTGCCGAAGATATCCTCGCAGCCCGAGAAAAAGCAGCTGAGGCAATCCGGAAAGCCAACCTGGTCGCAAGCCGACAAGCTGATTGTCATCGACGTGACGCCACTTACAAAGTGGGAGATCTCGTACTACTCGGCACTCGCAATTTGTGGCTGCCGATCCCGAGCAAACTCCGACCCCGATTCTATGGTCCCTTTCAAGTGACCAATATGGTGACACCTGTCACCGCTCACCTCCGACTCCCGGCGGATTGGCGTCACCACTCGGCTTTCCACGCCAGCCTCCTCAGACCCTACGTTCCCAGTTCGTCGGATTTGGCACGTCAACGTTTCGTAATGCAGCTGACGCCCCTGCAGGAACCGACGACCGAGCCCTTGAAGATTCTCGGCCATCGAGTCACAACGTAGCAGAACCAACGAATGGTGGATTTTCTCGTCCGCTGGCGCGATCGGACGTCTGGGGGTGACAGCTGGGTGCCCCTCGACGATCTAAAATCACACCCGATTCTAACGGGCGCATTATCAGCGTCGGAATGTTTCCGATGCCCGCGGCCTCGTTTAGGAGAGGGGGGGGGGGGGGAGGGCGGTAGTGTAAGGAATTTCCATTCCTTACTGAGTCGTGCGCTAGCGCTTACACCCGAACTCCTCGACTCGTCACGTTGGGCCTCATTTGTCGGCCCAACCCTCTTCCGAGTCGTGTTCCGGCATTATCGCCACATTGCCGAACCTACCCAGGTTCCGAGGTTATCGCCCTAGCACGCCAACCCCTTATGTAACCTCGTGCCTTTATTGCAATAGCGACCTTGTATTCTCACGCTATATGTAATTGACACTTCCACCTCGTGTCAGCAATTTTGCTAGAGGTGAAAATATTATGATGCAGGTCGTGTTCCGAACCTCGTTCCAAGGCTTCTCGTCAGTCTTCGACAGGCTGAAGTTGGCTTTCCAGTGTTGTGAACATGCGAAACGGACAGGTGCAAATCCGAGGCTGTCAATGAGGGTGAACACCAATGAAACGCATTTAACTGCACAGAATCTCTACAGATACAGAAGAAACCGCTCTGAAGCCGTTTACGTTGTCCAGATCGGACGCTGGCCTACCTTGCACTGCTCTGAAGTCTGCCCATTCGTACATGTTCGGAAATGCTTGTAACACGAAGTCGGAAATACCAGTCATACACGCCCTCTCTCTACAAAAGAATGTTTTGTACTCCGTAGTACGCGCTCCGCTACCGTAGCTTTGGGAACTACCCTCGAAATCCTAGTCTCCGTCGTACGCGGCTCGCTACCAGTCGCCAGCGCACGGGGGATCACATGCATCCGTCGGTCGCTCAGCAGCACGGCCTATCGCACCCGCACCAGCACGCGCTGCAGCACCCGCACACGCAGCAGCACGCGCAGCAGCACGCGCAGCACTATGTGAAGATATGCGAGCTTCGCCCGGCGCCAGGGAACGTGGTGAACACCGCCTTCATCCTCCTCGACAAGTGTGAGCCCGCGCTATTCTGCCTCGCTCGCCGCCCACCTCCCTCTCCCCCCCCCACCTTCCTCCCGTCATCTGTGTGCGCGGCGACTGTTGGCTGGAGAGAGCAGCGCCAGAGTGGAGGCCGTGCGTTGGTCAATGGCATGTGCAACCGCCACTATCTCGTGCTTCCCCCGCGCGTTTTGTCTGCCCGCCGTGACCTGATCCACTGTCGTGACCCCTCGGTTGCCCCCAGGCGTCAAACAGGCTTTCTGTCCGTCCCCTCTCCTCCCCCCTCTCCCCTTCCTTGCCTGCCCGCATTCCTCCAGTGCTCCCTTCCCCCGCCCCACTGCTCTCCCCTCGCCTCTTGTCCATAGTCGTCGTGTAGTCCGCCCCTCTGTCCGCTCTCTTTGTCCGCCCTTGCGATGGAAGCATGCACCACACACGCCATGCATGCTGTATGCTGTATGCTATATGCTGTATGCCATGCGTGGTGTATGCCGTATGCCATGTATGTTGTTGCCATGCCGTGTGCCATGCGGTGGCATCAGGGCCGGCCACGCGTGTGAGTGAGGCGGGTGCAGTGGTGTGCACGGCGCTGGTGGCGGACGGCACAGCGGCAGTGCACATGCAGCTGTGGGGCGCGGAGGTGGACGCGCTGCAGCCCGGCGACATCGTGCGCCTCACCAACGGGTGCGCTGCCTGCTGCTGCCCACTGCATGGGGAGGGGACGGAGGGGGTTTCCATGGGGAGGGGACGGAGGGGGTTTCCATGGGGAGGGGACGGAGGGGGTTTCCATGGGGAGGGGACGGAGGGGGTTTCCATGGGGAGGGGACGGAGGGGGTTTCCATGGGGAGGGGACGGAGGGGTTTCCATGGGGAGGGGACGGAGGGGGTTTCCATGGGGAGGGGACGGAGGGGGTTTCCATGGGGAGGGGACGGAGGGGGTTTCCATGGGGAGGGGACGGAGGGGGTTTCCATGGGGAGGGGACGGAGGGCGGGATGGAGACTGGGGTGCATGCGGGTGTGGGCGTTCGCTGTGCTTTGAATGGGTGGGTGGGAAATGGACGCCTTGTGGATGATGGCTGCGCTGTTGTACTAAAATTACCACGGACTCTCTATTTCGCTTGGCCCTGTTTCTCCTCCCACTGTCTTGCACCCACTGCGCAACGGACCTCTTCCTCCCAGTCATCCCGTCCTCCCCCCCCCTTTTTCCCAGCATTTTCTCGTTCCACAAGTCGAACCTGGTGCTGCGCGCGGGCAAGAAGGGCACGCTGGAGAAGATCGGCGAGTGCGTGGGGGGGGGGGGAGGAGAGCGGGTAGGGAGAGGAGAGTGCGGTAGGGGGAAGAGTGGGTGGCAAGGGGGAGAGAGTGTGTAGGGGAGTGGAGAGTGAGCAGAGACGGATCCTCTAGAGCTCACCTGTGCGGCACTGCATGCTGAATGACGGGTATATCTTGCATCGCCAGCAGCCGCACACCTTATCCTCTCCTCCCCATCCCCCTTTTCCCCCACCCCGTGCCCCTTCAGGTTCACGATGCTATTCGTGGAGGCGCCCAACATGAGTCGCCTGCAGTGGGCGCCTGACCCCGCCAACCCCAAACACTGGGTCAGTCCCGCATGCGCATGGCGCCACCATGTGCGAACCCAGGGCTGCATTGCACCATCCGTCATGTGTGCATGTGTGCATGGGTGCATGTGTGCATGGGTGCATGTGTGCGGGGCACATGCCCCCCCTTTGCACTCTGTGAGTGTGTTATTGGCGCTGCGAGGCATGGCTTGGGTGACTTGAAGCAGTGGTGCGGCCAGCCATGGTGTACCACAGCTGGGTAGTTTGGTCACAGCAATCACCAGTGGGCAGTGGGCACGCGTCGATCGCACATGGCGCATGTTGCTGCACTGCGTGCACCAACCAACCCCACCTCCCTCTCTACCTGCCACCCCCTGCCCCTCTCACGCTGGTCCTCCAGCCTTGTGCAACCTCCCTCTCACCCTCTTTCCCCCCGCCCATCCTTCTCCCTCACCCCTCCCAACACGGCTGCCCCAAGTGCAGGTGCCAAGAGGGGGCATGCCTGCAGGCGGCATGGCAGCGCACGGCAGATAGTGCTGCTCACCAAACTGTCTGTTATAGCCTGTGGCTGCTGCATGCACGGAACCCAGGTGACGACGCTACCAGTAGTTCGATCGCACTCCCACGTTCGACCACCATCCCAAGTCCAGAGTGCAGCTCACTCGCCTACTGAGGCTCTCGACGTCTCTCCCCCCTCCCTCCACCCCCTGACCCCACACCATACAGTGTAAAATAGAACTAGGACTCGTGCCACCAACTAGAGGCAAAGATGAATGAGCTAACTGAAAGCCCAGGCTGCTTTCTGCCTGCTTCTGAAGGCTGAATCGTCTGCTAAGGTTTCCCTGGGAATGTTTTTTGAGCTACTACATGAAATACACTTGGAATGCTACAGAATTTGGAGTGCTGAGTCAGGCACATGCATGTGCAGCTAGCAGGTAGTGGAGAATAGGGAGCATGGGAGCAGTGAGGGAATGAATGGTGTATCTAGTACTCCGTCTCCAAGAGCCCGTCAATGAGCCCAAACTCCATGGCCTGGGGCATACATGCAACAGCAAGCAGGGAGGAGAGGAGGGCAGGGAAAGGGGATGAGAAGGGAACCCAAGGAGAGACTGGCGACAGGGCAGGCGCCTGCGCAAGAGGCAGCTAGGCTGGATGCTCAACCAGGCACAGCAGACGCATGCACACAGGGGGAGACAGACAAGTGGCATCAATCCATGGCACAAGGGCCAGCGCGATCACATGGGCTGCCTGCACAGGGCAGGATGCTACAAGGGGGTGAGGCGGCTGGCAGGGGTGCAAGGGCGGCTGGCAGGGGTGCAAGGGCGTGGGGTAGTGGTGGACAGATGGGTTGCAGGCAATGGTCGGTGGCATGCCGTGAAGCTTGAAAAGAGGAGCGCGCAGTCGCACGATGGTATAAAGGGAGCAAGCGAGGGAGGGGCATGGAAGGAGTGAGAGGGTGTGGGAGGGTGCGAGGATAGACCTCCGCAGCGGAGAAGAAGCGGTCCCTCTCCGTGTACTTCTGAATGAGCTCCAACGGCTGCCCTGTGAATGCAGAAAACATCTTGTCCAGCTTCTGCTCGGGGCACACATGCATGTATGGATTCATGCATGTATGGATTCATGCATGCATGGATTCATGCATATATGGATTCTTGCATGTATGGATTCATGCATGTATGGATTCATGCATACATGCATGCCGGCACGCGTGCACAGAGACGTAAAGCATACATACCACGGCAGGCATGCAAACACAGGTATGTAGGAGAGGAGGATGAGGAGACAGAGAGGGCAGCCGAAAGACGAGACGAGGGTGAGAATTAAAGTAAGTGAACCAAACAGCAATGATGAAGGGGTGCGGCACGTGCCGTGGAAGTGTGTGTTAGACGTGGCAGGGTGGGATTGCCGTAAAGCAAATCAAGGCGAATCGACAGGAGCATGCAGGGAGAAGGGAGCATGCAGGGAGAAAGGAGCATGCAGGGAGAAAGGAGCATGCAGGGAGAAGGGAGCATGCATGGAGAAGGGAGCATGCAGAGATTGGAATGGAGAGGAGAGGGGAGAGCAGGAAGAGAGCAGGGCGGTGGGATTGGTGGGGTTACATCACGAGAAGCCATGACCTCGTTGACTTGCCGCCGCACATCCTCTGATGTACCCTGTTGGCATGCATGGTGCATGGCACATCACACATGATGCATCACACATGGTGCATCACACATGGTGCATCACACATGATGACATGGCATGACCAGTCATGTCAGAGCATGGAATGGCATGGAATCAGAGGAGCATGGGGCATGTGTGGGTGAGGACGCAGATGAGGACGTGGCATGGGAGGATAAGGAGCCAAGGCATACACAATCAAACACCACTCGTGCTTGTCACCATGGCAGTGCATCTGCATGCATAAACATATGTGCGTGAGCGTGAGCGTGTGCGTGAGTGTGCGTGAGCGTGCGTGTGTGTGCGTGTGTGTGTGTGCGCACGCGTGCACATATGCTACACACACACGTGTGAAATGTGTGTGTGTGTGTGTGCATATGTGGTGGGTGCATGTGGGCCATTGCTTGTCTGTAAGAGGGAGGGGGGGGGGGGGGGGGTTGGGGCGTGAGAGAGGGTGCGAAGGGGGGCAGTGTGCATGTGTGCGTCCATCCATCCATGCCTATGTGCGCACAGCTGTGAGTGCCACTGCGTCACTCCCCCCTCCCCCCCCCCCCCCCACGCACCCCGCACCCGCCCTGCGGCTGGTGGATCATGATGCGCGAGTTGGGCATGGCGAGTCGCTTGCCCTTGGCGCCCGCCGCCAGCAGCAGCGCGCCCTGCGACGCCGTCATGCCGAACGCCACCGTCTGCACGTCCGGCTTGATCTGCGCGCGCACCAGGGGGTTGGGTGAGGGGGAGAGGAGGGGGGAGAGGAGGGGGGAAGGGGGCGGGGGGCGAGTGAGTGGTGCGAGCACGGGTGGAAGGTGAAATATGCATGTGCGCATGATAAAGTGGGGGAAGGTATAGGACGGGCATGATGGCAGTATGCGTGAGGAAAAGCAGTGCATGGCAACGAGTGACGTGGAGTGAGTCCAAATGGACGGCAAAGACGACCCAAGAGCCACGACACATGGCACGGGCAGCCTCCCACGGGTTGCAGACCCACCCATGCCATGCAGTCGTAGATGGCGAGGACGGAGTACGTGCTGCCCCCGGGGCAGTTGATGTACATCTGCGCACGGGCATCGCGGCACCACGGGTAGCACCGTGAGCAGCACAATCAGCACATGGTGGTGGGCAGGGGAAGAGGTGTGTGCGGGAGGAGTGATGAGATGGGCCACGAGAGCAGCAGTGGGAGGGGGCCAACGGTGCAGCAAGCAATACGAGACGCAACGACACGGGCTCACGCTCTCTGCCTCGCTCGCTCGCTCTCACACGCCTCGCCTCGCCTCGCCTCGCCTCGCCATGACATGCGCCGCCACGCCACGCGTGGCGCGCACCTTGATGTCTTGGCGGTCGTCGACGGCGGCGAGCGCGAGGAGCTGCTGGATGACGCGCTGCGCCATCTGCTGGTTGATGGGCGCGCCAACGAAGATGATGCGGTTGCGCAGGAACGCCGACATCAGGTCCGCCGGGCCCGACGGCGTGAGCACCACCGGCTGCATCGGCGGGATCTTCTGCCGCGCCGCGCGCGGCGACACCACGTCGCCGCTCACGCCGATCAGCCCACTGGAGGCGCGCGGAGAGGCGGCTGCACGCGACGCGGCGAGGGTGGCGCTGCGGGAGGGACGGGCAGAGAAGAGGAGGGACGGGCGGGGAGGGAGGCGGGAGAGGGCGGGGAGGTGAGGGGGGCGAGGGAGGGATGACATGGACGCGGACCGGAAGGAGTCGACGCGCGAGGGCCGGGTGACACGACCACCTAGTCACGGCTGATCCAACTGCTCGCCTCATCTCCGCCTCTCGCGCCCAGATGGCCCGCGATGGGCGATGAGCGATACGTCTGCCGACTGACTCGCTACCTGCTCGCGATCATCCCTACGGCATGCATCATGCCCTACACTCTGCCGCCTGCTGCTGCTGCTGCTGCTACGCTCCGATAGGAAACTGATGACTACGGCTGGCATGCTCTCATCGGGGTGCTTGCGCGTTGCCGCTCCAGCCGCGAGCACCCAGCGACGGCCTGAGCAAGCGGGTACGAGCACGGCTTTGTTTCGCGCCACGGCCGGAACCGAGGAGGCAATGCCGCGTTGACGGAGTTTCTAACGAGCAGGGAGGTGGGCACTACGAGCCGTACTCTGCGACTAGTGGCGATCGTGCGACGGCGGGAAGTCGCCCAAAGAACGACGATTTGTCGCCGGCAGCCGTGAGCGACTGCGCTTGGCCTTTCCACGCGGCGGAGGGCGCCGCGAGCTGAAGGCTGCAGCAAGCCATGGCGATGTCACTATAACGAGGGGCGGAGGGGGGTACAGCGAGGGTTGAAGAGGAATGGAGGGTGCGGAGGGATGTGGTAGTAGCGAGTGAGCGTGCGGAGTGGCGCTGGGAAAGCAGGAGGGAGGGAAGGAGAGTTAGAGGTGTGCGGTGGAGAGCGGTGGATGGCAATATCAAGAGAAGCGGGAGTATGCGTGTGAGGGGTGACGCGTTGAGAGTTGCGAGGGCAGGTGGTTGGTTATGTTACAGTTAGTAAGGCCCTTTGAAAACAGAGAAAGTAACAATTGCCTTAAGGAAATCAATCAAAGAATGGATTGCCCCCATGGTTGGTACTAGCAATGAAAATTCGAAGATTATCTTCAAGCCACGAAAGTACGTTGGGGTAAGCATTTCTCTTAGGAATCCAATTCTACAGATCGGTCTGCTCCCGAGAGGTAGGGAGAAACGCTCTTCGTATCAGACTGTCGTCTCAATCAACCGTGATGCTTCTGCTTGAATGAGCTTCCATGCAGCCTCCACGTGCCTCCTCTCCGTCTTGGAAGCACCGATTACCATTCGAAGGGTGAATGTTCCGGAGAGCACCTGCAGTGCAGACAGGCGTCAAACAGCATGGCTAATTGGAGATGGCACAACAACTCATCTCAGTGCCATACATGCGCATTGGCGCCTCAGCAACCGATATTGGGGGAAGACGCGATTGGTCAACCATTTGAATAGGCATACTCCATGATGTGTGCGGGAGAGGGATTGGAGGGAGGGAGGGAGCGCGGAAGAGAAAGGGATCAGGAGAGAAGAGTAGGGGGATAAAAGAGTGCGAGAGGAAGGGATAAAGAAAGGGGGGGTTATGTTAGAGGATTGAGGGGGTCAGAGCGATTCAGGGTGATAGAGCAGCTCCCGTGGATGCAATAGACACCCCAGCTCGCGAGGTTTTGCGGGCCATTCGAGTTACTCGAGGAGGATGAGCGGGCGCAACTTGGAACGCAACTGGAATGAGCAGCGGATGGACAGGGCCCCCGCCCCGCCCCCCCCGCTGCACGCTACTGGGTGAGATTGGCAAACTGTTCCCTTCATTCGGGCAACGAAGGAAGGGGTTGAAAGAGGGAGAAGAAGACTCCGGGGAGGGAGAGAAAGGGAGGGGAAGGAGATGTGTGCAAGAGGGAGAGTTGGGTTGAGTTACAGTGTGGGTGAGGAAGGCTTGTCCAGAGGAGTTAACGGCCTCCAGCAGTGCCTCGTTCAGTGCCCACCCCTCGCCGCCACTGCCCCTCCCCTCGTCACCCTGTCCCCCGCCTGCACGCCCCTCCTTGTTACTCCCTGCCTGCCCTAGCGGCTTCAGGCGGAAGCACACGAGGGCAAAGGTGCGCGGCGCCAGCAGCTGTGAGGGGGACGGGATGAGGGGGGGGAAGGGGAGATGTGTGGTGGTGAGAGGTGGCACGACGGACAGAGGGGTGGTTGCATGGCGAGAGATGGTTGCATGAGGAATGAACAAAGGAATGCACATGCAGGGTGACTCATGCAGGGACGCTAAAGAGGTTGATGGGGCCAAACCATACCCCTGCACCTACAGTGATCACGTGTGCTCCTATATGCAGGTTCGTATGCACGCGCGCGTGCGCATCTGTATGCGCGCGCGCGCGCGCGCGCGCGTGTGTGTGTGTGTGCGCGCGCGCGCGCGCGCATGCCAACACATCTGCAAATGCATGTGAGCATGTGTGTGTGTGTGCGCGCGCGCGCCTGTGATGTGAAGGTATCCCACGGCACCTCGAAGCGGGCATCAGCAATGACAGCGGCTTCCAGCCAGCATGCGAGGGACACGTGGTGGCGGATGTACTCGCGCAGGGACGCTGCGCCAAACATGCGCAGCACAAACCACAGCTTCAGCGCGCTGCAACACACGTGGGGGAGAAGGGGAAGGGGGTGGGAGGAAGGGAGGAGCGAGAGAGAGTGGTGTGGAGGGGTGGAAAGAGAGTGAGTTGAGAGGGAGAGCGCAGATGAGCATGACGACATAGCAGCTCACATGTGATGGTGAAAGTAACACATGCTGACAGGCGTCGCACATGGGAGCACAGGAGCACAGGAGCATGGGAGCAGGGGAGCAGGGGAGCACGGGAGCAGGACTGACCGGAATCGTCGGCCGAGGGGCACCTGCCAGTCCTTGTAGTCCACCACCTGCCGGCTGTCCGACGCCTGCTCTCCACCCGCGGGGCATGCGCACCACCACACACACGCCATGCGCGGGGCACATGGGATGGGACAAGAGCGAGGGGATACATTGGGTAGAGACGAGAGGGTGGTGCGAGGAGGTGCGAGCACAAGAGATGGGAGGTGAAGGGGATGGAAATGAGAGGGGAACAAGGGGGTGAGGAGAGCAGAAAGGTGCAGTGAGGAATGGTGAGGACACCGAGGGGTGCCGTTGCATGTTCTGAGCCTGCCCTCACCTTATTGCGCAGGTACTCAGGCGTCGTTGAAAGTGCGTTCTGCACCGCCTTACTGTCCTGAAGGGGGTGGCGGAGGGGCGGGGTCAACCAGGGGAGTGGAGGGAGGAGAGCAGAGGGCGGGCTGCAGGGGTGAGGGTGTGAGTGGTGTGTGGCGGATGAAGGCACATGGACGCATCTCATGCACGGCCATGGTGTGCAGGGATGGCCATGCCATGCATGGCCATAGCCACCCACACCCACAATACAACCATGCATGCATGTAGCCCTGTTCTTACCACGTGCAGCAACGGGCCTTCCCACTCATCCCCGGGCCACTGACTCCGTCCGTATTCTCTCCCCACCCCAACCCTCCCTCACACATCCACATCACCCCGCCCTCACACCTCTGCACCCCGCCATACCCCAGGGCACCTGCGTCCAGAGGCAGCAGCAGTCGAAATTGGTGAGGAGCCACTTGTGCGCGTTGAGCGCCAGCGACTGCACGCGCTGCACGCCCTCCAGGTGGTGCCGGTGCTCCTCGCACACGCACGCCGCCCCTGCATACGCTGCGTCCACATGCACCCACATGCCGTGCGACTGAGGGGCAGAGGGGGGAGGAGGTGTGCGGTATGATGCTCACATTGAGTGGTGCTGCTGTAAGGAGCACTGTGAATGCAGATCGATTTATGAACAGCTGGCATCAACTGTGTTGATGCATAAACAGTGCATCAAGCATCATGAACAGTGCAGCATGGATGAACGATCGCCGAACCTGGGCAATGGCAGCGAGCGGTTCAATAGGATCCACTGCGGTAGAAGAGGTGGTACCCACCTGATGGGGGGGTTGCCAAGGAGGGAGATGAGAGGGAGGGGGGTGAGACGGATGGAGATGATAGAGGGAGGAGGATGATGGCAGAAAAGGAGGAGGAGGACGAATGGGAGAGAGAGGAGGAGGGCAACAAGGGGGGAGGGCTAGAAGAATTGATAGGAGGGCAGAGGAGGGGAGTGGTGGAAGGGGGTTGAGAGGCAGTGCGACAGACAGGCCCGGTGATGCAGATGAAGACACCCATGGCATGTGAGTGTGACGTCATGCTGAGTGCGTCGCATCACGCCATGCATGCATCCCACCATACAGTGCAGGTGAGGAAGAAGGGCACGAGCCCTGCGTGCGTGTCGGCGTCTATGGCCCGTTGCAGCGTGCACGGCAGCAGCGCGTAGCTGCTGGCCGCACTGGTGGGCAGCACGCGCAGGTTGCTGCTGGGAATGCCCGCCATCTGAGGACAGAGGGACAGGGGGACAGGGAGACGAACGGGAGAGAGGGCGAGGCGGATTGGGGAGGGGGACTGGGGGAGTGAAGGGAAGCGATAGATTATGGTGAGTGCCCATGCCCATGCCCATGCCCATGCCCATGCCCATGCCCATGCCCATGCCCATGCCCATGCCCATGCCCATGCCCATGCCCATGCCCATGCCCATGCCCATGCCCATGCCACGCCTATGCATGCGTTGCGCTCCTCACCTGGCATGCCTTCTTCACGCACGCATGCGTCTGGTCCGACACATATGCTACCAGACGCTCTAACCCGCCTCCGCTCCTCGCCGCACCCCCCTCACCCCCCCCTCCCTCACCACCTCTTCCTGCCGCCGCCCCCACTGCTTCTCCCCCGGCATGCGCCTGCTCCTGCTCCTGGGCTCGCAAGGCTCTCAGGGCCTTCTCCCTGGCCGCCAGCACCGCCACCAGCACCGCCTCACTCGCACTGCCCTGGATGACGCCTCCCCCGGCCCCACCTGCACGCCGTGGAGGAGGAAAAGTGTGAGGGAAAAGAGGGGTGGGGGGGTTGTTTGAGCAAGGGAAAGCAGGAGTGATGCGGGGTGGGTGAAGAATGCAGAAGCATGAGAAGAGAGCAGCATGGAGACTGTTTCTCTTTGTGGTACAAAGTGAATACATAGCGCACAGCACACAGCGCACAGCACGCAGTGCCGTGCCCACCGGAGTGAGAGGCAAGGAAGCCATTGGGCAGGTGCAGGAGGCGTGCGAGCCAGTCCAGCACGCGCGTTTCGAGCTCGGTGGCGGCAGGCGAGGCGAGCCAGTTGAAGGCCACCACATTGAGCGCGGAGCACAGCATGTCCGCCAGCAGCGCGGGCGTGCTGCTGTTGGCGGGGAAGAAGGCGAAGAACGACGGGCTCTGCCAGTGCGTGATGCCTGGCAGAATGGCGCCCGTCACGTCTGCACCAGAGGGGCGGGAGAGAGGGGGGAAGGGGAGAGGCGGAATGGGGGAGGGGAGAGGGATGAGGGGGAGGGGCTGCAAACGAGAGGAATGGTCGGAATTAGTACCGTATTCACAATCATCACCACCACCACCGCCAGCAGCAGCAGCAGCAGCAGCAGCAGCAGCAGCAGCAGCAGCAGCAGCAGCAGCAGCAGCAGCAGCAGCAGCAGCAGCAGCAGCCAGCAGCAGCAGCAGCAGCAGCAGCAGCAGCAGCAGCAGCAGCACAGCAGCAGCAGCAGCAGCAGCAGCAGCAGCAGCAGCAGCAGCAGCAGCAGCAGCAGCAGCAGCAGCAGCAGCAGCAGCAGCAGCAGCAGCAGCAGCAGCAGCAGCAGCAGCAGCAGCAGCAGCAGCAGCAGCAGCAGCAGCAGCAGCAGCAGCAGTAGCAGCAGCAGGTGCAGCATTACCTGCGAGGATGTTTTCCAGTGGTTCGCCTTCCTCTGGCGCGTTCTCGGGCACGTGGTGCTGCAGATACCCGGGCTGACGGGCACGGGGGCGAGGGGGAAGGGGGTAGGAGAGGTGACGCGCGGGGGCGGAAGCGGAAGGAGAGGGGAATGCGGGCGGGGATAGAAGGACCGGTAGGCAAGGGAAGAGGAGAAAGACGAGGGAATGGCTTCCATTCGCGCGCTTACCTCGACGGTGCTTCTAACGGGGTGTGACTCGATATCGCGGTAGTAGTCCGCGATATAGTCCACCATGCGGTGCGCGTGCGCGCGGAACTCCTCCGCGTCCAGCGGCTGGACGCCCGCCAGTTGGGGGAGAGTGGCTTCAGTCGGTCGGCCAGCCGCCGCATTGACGCAGCGCGGGGACGTGGCAGGCGCAGGCTGACGCGGCGCTCCTACTCGCGATTCCTCCGCCCCTGAGTTCTCGCATTCCCGCAACGACTCTTCGCCGAGCATAAAATCTTCGCCATTCGTTGCTAGGTCGAAGGCAAGGGGCGTACCGCGCGCATCGCGGGACTCGACGCGGCGATCCGGAAGATCGAGGGTGGAAGGGACATGCTGCGTGGGCATGGCTGGCGACAAGGATTCAGTACTTGGTCCCGCACGCCCAAAGCGGCCTCTTTCTTCCGATGACAGCTGCACGGAATTTGGTCTTCTGTCGGAATCATCAACGTGCAAGCCATATGAGAAGCTGTGAAAGTGTAGCTCACATGGTGCAACCCATGACAGTATCTCCCCTCCTACCGTATGTACGGTGTATGGTGGTAAACCGTAAACATGGATTGCACAGTACGTTCACAATAAGAGCACTCCTAATATCATCAAGTGCATCCATGAATTACACTACAGCTATCTAGAAAATGTAATCTACCAGCTTGGACAGTACAACCTAACACTATGATGGTGCGCTTGAAAATCCGCCAACAAGGCCGAACCGTTGCATGAAACCTTGACCTTTCTACTGCTGGAGTTGCCTTGGTGTGGTGGGGCTACGGTAGGTAACAGGTGAATGTCAGATCCATTCAACGTCCTGATTGAACTTGACACTCTTCTTGCTTGCACTCAGGCGCCTGCCTACCATCGCCCTGCCATGTGTTTCCGCCCTTGCTGCCAGCCCTGCATGCATGCCTTGCAGAGGGCCATGGCCATCGCTCATACCAAGGTGCGTCACCGCATCTTCACTATACTCTGATTCCAACACTGCGCTGTAAATGCTGCTGCTGCTGCTGCTGGGCGTGCAGATGCTCCTGTTGCTGCCATATCTGCTGTCACCCCCACTGCTCATGCTGCTCCAGCCGCTGCTGCTCCTGCTGCTGCTGGGAGTGCTGTCACTGCTCCCAGAGCCAGGCCCCTGCTGCATACATCTCTCTCTCGCCACAACCCCCTCCTGCGCATCTCGCCGCTCTGCCGCTCTGCTGCCTTTGGCGGAGTCGTACATCTCCATGGCCCACGATGGGAAGTTGAAATCCGCTGACATGCTCCGCCTGCTGCGCCTCTCTTCCTGCACCTGTCGCCCAGGCCCGCCAGAGCCACCACGCCCTAAGCCACCCACGCCCGGCGACCCTCCACCGCTTGCCGCTGCGCTGGGGCCCTGAGTCCGAGCTGCCCTGGTTGACCCCGCTGCTGCCCCCACGAGGTGGGCGGCAGACACCACCGCCCTCCTTCGTGCCACAGTGTGGTACAGCCCCACGAAATCATCGTCCGAATCGCTCCCGTCTTCACCGGCTAAAGGCTCAAGCGGAAATTGAGAGGAAGAGAAATTCGATAAGAACCCGGCTGTTGGAACGCTTCTGGACGCCTTTCCTGCTCTGCCAGCTTCTGAAGGAAGGCTCAACACCGGCACCGACTGAGGGCTTGGTATCGAGTCACTTTGAAGGGGGGATGCGACGTCACGGCTCAGCGCAGTAGGGCTAAACGCGCCTTGCCTACCAACTGCTGCCGCTACCTGCGGCGACTCCAACCGAGCCCACTGACTGCCCGCCATTGCCTGGCCAACCGTGCCCTGCAACGCGGCGTCGATTCGCAGGGGCGTGGGCGACGTCGCACGGAGTCGCTCGTCGTCCCTCGCGAACATCGTATGCTCGCCGAGCGGCACGGGCTGTGGGGATGCCAGAGGATACGGACTACCGTACGACGCGGCGGGTTTCCGGGAGCGAGGCGGCAGGCCCGAGGGCGTTGCGGGGCAGGCGACGGGTGACGCGGGGGTGGCGGCGGAGGCGGAAGCGGTGAAGGAGGTGAAGACGGGGGACGAGCAGGCGGAAGGGGAGGAGGCGACACCGCTGGGTCGCGTGGAGGCGCGGCGGTTTCCTGGGACTGCCGTGGCGGCTGCCACACGCGGAGGCGACTCCCAGGGAGGGCTACCGACGGAAAAGGAGCCGCCAGAGGCGGCGGGGAGGGCGCGATGACGGTTGGGCCAGGGGAGGCCGTGGTTGGTGGCAGCGGGTGGCACTGCGGCGTTGCTGGCGATCAGCGCGAGGTTGGTGCTGGACGCGGCGCATCGCGGCATGCGCGCCCCGGCAGGGAGCGGCAGAGGAGTGCCGGCCGCGATGGATTCGTGGCTGGGACACGACAGCGAGCGGCGGTGCCTGCCCGCGCGCCTTCGCACCTCACCGCACGCGGCGCCGGTAGAGGCGGAGGCGGAAGAGATTTGCGTGGCTGGAGCAAGCTGCTGGGGGGGGCGAGTGGGGGGGGGGCTGTGCATGGCGGAGCCACCTGCCGCTTCAAGGCTCATCGCCTCTTCCCACGCCACGGTGCGTGGGGCTTCACTCATGCCGCGGATGGCGGGCGCGCCATCGCCAGCCCGAAGCGTCAGAGGCTCGGTGCGGCGATCTGCTGACGAAAGCCGTGGCGCACAGGGAGCACCGAGCCACACGGCGCGCGGCGAAATCGCGGGTTTCATGGCCTCAGGTGTCGGCGCGGCGTCTTCTCCCCGCGCCTTGGCGCGCAGCACCGGGTCCACAGCGCGCTCCACGGACGCCCCCACGAACGGCGGAGCCGTTCCTCCTGTGCGGGGCGCCGACGCGGAGCCCGGCAGCCCGCGAATGGCGCCAGGGGACGTCAGCGACCTGTCCGTCACGGCGCTGGGCGGGCTCGCAGCGCCCGCGACGGGAATTCGCCGCAGGGACGCGCTTCTCACGGGACCGGCGGTGACGGCGGAGCGGCTCCGCGGAGTGCATATGGAAGTGGCGGGGCTCGATGCCAATGCTGCGGAGGCCACCCGTGATATCGCTGCTGCAGCATCCGCGTCGGCGGCGTGCGGCGGCGGGTCCGACCCGCGCTCCAAGATTCGCGGACCGCGCGAGAGGAGGCGCGGATCGGCTCGCGGAGATTCCGCGACGCGTTCGGCGATGGCGGCAGAGGGTGGCGGGAGCAGCGGCCAATCTGGAGCGGCATGAGTGTCGGCCATGGCGACGGTCATGGCGGGGGGGCTGTCGCACTGGGCAGCACGCACAGGCGGCGAGTAGTCCGCTCGGGAGGCGAGGCAACGAGGGATTTGGGCCACGCTAGTGGCCAGGAACAATGGTCTTAGCCGGAGAGGAACTAAGAGACAAAACGGGTACTCGTCGGTAGGCGTTGTGGGAAGTCAAAATAACTGTGGCGTGGTAGCTGGTGCAGAAGCAGCGAGGCTCTGCCAGCGCCAGTGCGACATGGCATGACATGACGTGTGCGGACTGACATGGGGACGAGCAGGCTAGCGAAGAGCATAGAGATAGAGTTTGAGAGTGTAGCATGTTGCGTCCTCCTCGCCTTGGAGCTAATCTTCCGACGGCCTTGTATAGTCTGGGCTGCTCGCAGCGCGTGATCGAGCAGACTGGACTGCCATGCCAGCCGCATCGAGACTCACCCCGCCCATCCAAAACCCTTGAACGCATGGCAGTTTCCGCGTTCACGAATGGGCGAGGGGGGCTATTGATCGAGCTGGACTGGCGACCAGAGTGAGGCGAGCGTGAGAAGCGGGTGCAAGCCTCAGGCCTGCTTGCGGAGGTGGTTGGTTGAAATCTTCTCTGCTCGCAGCGCGTAAAAGAATCGACGGGGAGGAAGGGAGGGGAATGGATGAACAGAGGGGGAGCGAGTGTGAGGGTGAAGGCACCCAAGGATGGGGGAAAGGTGTGGGACAGACAGAGAGAAAGGGAGCGTGGTGGTTCCCGTTGCATGGCGAATCCACTCTGCTCCCCAACCCCGACACAACACAGCAGGCACCTGACCTGAGGCCACGCCAAGGACCATATCTCAAATTCAGTGCTCACGATTTTCTAGGCCTGTACAAGTGACACGCTGGTCGACGTCGTGTCGCATTGTTAAGCGCGGTTGCAAGCGACTCTATTCGTCATAGAGTGGTTCTGTACGTTTTTGTATGGTGGAGAGCGGCCCAAAAAAAATTCCAGCCGGGCCCATGATACATTTACCGGTTGAGGCCTGGTTCGCCTTTGCAAGGGTGGAGATGCTGAGTTGAGGTGGCCTCAATTCTGTTATGGTGCCCCTCGCACGCCATGGCCGTTCAAAATCCAGTGACCAGTCATCTCGCAAGACCAGGTTTGTGGGCGCTGGGCTACCAGATACTGCACCTCGTTACTGACAGTCCCCAGCTCGTCAGCGCGTGACAAGGCGAGGTCTAACATCTTTACATGTAAGGAAATGGTATTTCCTTATCCAGGGTTTTAGTTAGTAAGGTGTAAACGTACACTGCTATGACGGGGTTGTCGCACAGTCTGCCATAAAATTTAAATTGCGGCACCCAAATGTAGTCTCCTGAAGAGACGCATACATTTCGCCCACCTTACAGTTTCATCCCTGAATATGTGCGCTCCGCGCTAATTTATAAACCACACATGTGTTAAATTATATATTTTGTTATATAATTGGTAGGCTTGGTAGGTGTTACTGAAACCTACTGTAGAGAGTACAACCTGTTAAATTATATATTGTCTTATATAATTGGTAGGCTTGGTAGGTTACCAAACTCTACTGTAGAGAGTACAATCCCCTCCTTGTATGCCTCTCTCTCTTCTAGTTCACCCTCTTTTCTCTCGTCAACTTCCTCTCCTAGCTCCTAGATCTAAAACCTTACGCCATTTCCATGGCTTCCTACTCGTTCCTCCTAGCCTAGCTTTCGTTAACACAACCCCCCTGCTTGTATCCCTCTCTCTTCTATTATCGACCCCCTTTTCTCTCATCAACTTTCCTGGCCTAAAACCTCTCGCCATTTCTATGGCTTCCCTACTACCTAGATCCTAGCTTACTTTAACATGGTAACAGAGCAGGTTGCCCTTCCCGGGCCTGCTCCCTATGCTTCCGCCGCGCACTCCTCCTCTCCCTCTCGCGCTGCCATGGCGGCCGCGTCGTACTGCTGTGGCGGCGTCGTCGTGCCGCGGCCGTCTTGACGCGCTGCTGTGGCGTCGACGTCCAGCCGTGGCGGCGGCGTCGACGTCCAGCTGTGGCGGTGTGATGGCGCCGTCGTGCTGCCGTCGCAGCGTCGACGTCCCGCCGCGGCATCGACGCCGCTCTGTGACGGCGTCGTCGGGCTGCTGCCGGCCGCGCAACGTCTGTGGCGCCGTTAGACCTGCCGCCCGCTCGCCTGCCATGGGCGTCATTCTGGACCACCCCCCCCCCCCCCCCCCCCCCCTCCCACCCCCTCCTTCCCCTACGTCCCCTCTTCCTTGCCACAGCCGTCGACTGCCTCGTGAGGGCCTTTCCATAGTCGTTATGAGATTGGCCAAGCCGCCGAGAGGGCGGGGGCCGCTGCAGCCGCCTCTGATGTTGAAGCCGCCGCCGCCGCCGCTGTTGCCGCTGGCCAGTTGCCGCCGCACACCGCCGCCGTCACTCTCGTCACTGCTGTGCCTGCTGCCATTGCCATCTCCCGGGCCATGGATATTCCGGAGTCATCGCGGCTGCTGCTGGAAATGGGGGTGCTAGGTTAGGGGGTGTGGGAGTGTGTGGGTTCTTAAACTACCAAGCCTAGGGGGTGTGTTAAATTATGTATTTTGTTATATATTTGGTAGGCTTGGTAGGTGATACTGAAACCTACTGTAGAGGGTACAACCCCCCTCCTTGTATCCCTCTCTCTTCTATTATCGACCCCCTTTTCTCTCATCAACTTTGCTAGCCTAAAACCTCTCGTCATTTCTATGGCTTCCCTACTACCTAGATCCTAGCTTACTTTAACAACATGTGAGCCAGGACTGACGTTATCATGGTATTTTACCCTCATTCCCTGATTTCACAGGGACCATGTTATGGGGATACTGAGTTTCCAGGTGTTAACGCATACCGACCCTGACACATACATATTGCACCGAACTGCCCACATTCCGGAGATTTCGGCGAAGTCCCCAATCGCCAGAGACATTTCCCCCACACACTCAGCAACCTATGTAAAATTTTGGCTAAGTCTTGGTCAGAAATAAACTAGGTGGGTAGAGGAGCCATTGAATGGCGAGAGGTTTTCGGAAGGAGAAAAGTTACGAGGGAGAAGTGTGTTGGATTAGAAGAGAAGGAGATACAAAAAGGGGGTAGTCCCCTCTACAGTAGGATTCAGTAAGTAGCACAACCAAGCCTACAATTATATATACAAAATTTAACACACCCCCTAGGCTTGGTAGTCGCAAGCCCACCCCACATGCAACACCTCTAAGCCTAGCACCCCCATACCCTGCAACAAAGATGAGTGCAGGGAAAAAAGGTGCTAGGCATACATGAGCTGCGGCGGGGTGGAGCCGGCTGGCGTGGAGAGCTGGGACCGACGCTGCGAGCTGGGACCGACGCTGCGAGCTGGGACCGACGCTGCGAGCTGGGACCGACGCTGCGAGCTGGGACCGAAGCAACGAGCTGGGTCCGGAGACGAGAGCTGGGATCGACGCGACAAGCTGGGTCCGACGCGGCGAGCTGGGTCCGACACGACGCGGCGAGCTGGAGTGAGGGCTTGCTGCATGGCGCCTAAACCAGTGCGTGGCCCACTGCCGCCCATGCGCTGACGCGACGCCGGCGGCACGACGAAGCCGCCACGATGTGGCATCGAAGCCATGGAAGCACGTCGAGGCTGCCACGGCAGCACGACGAAGCCGCCATGGCAGCACGACATGGCCGCCATGGCGGCGCGGAAGTAACAAGAGGGGAAGGAGTATGCGGCAGAAGCGTGATGAGAAGGCCCGAGCAGACGGACCTGCTCTGAAACCATGTCAGAAATAAGCTAGCATGTAAGAGGCGCCATGAAATGGCGCGAGATTTTAGGCTAGTGGAAAGTATCAAGAGAGAAGAGTTTGGACTAGAAGAGAAGGATATACACGAAGGGGAGTAGTCCCCTCCAACAGTAGGATTCATTAAGTAGCAAAACCAAGCCTACAATTATATATATATATATATAATATATATATTTTAACAAAGTCCAACTGGACGGACGCTCCCCCCACACACCCAGCAGCACCTACCGAAATCGGCCTCTTGTACAGACACTCGCCCCACACACCTCGCAACTTAAAAAAATCGGCAAAGTCCTAATAGCCCGAGACATCACCCTCCTCAACAAAGATTTATTGGCTAAGTCCTCTTGTACAGACTCCCCCCTCTCACACTCCCACAGCCCATACAATTTGGCTAAGTCCTCAACATCACCCCTATATCCCCCGCAAACCCTGAAAATTTGGCAACCTAGTGGAGCAATGAAATTCGTACATGGCAATGTTCTCCTTAATTACAAGGGTACTATTGACAACGCCAGAGCATGAAAACCCTTATTAGCAATCGTTCATTTCAGGGGAATTCCCGCCAGCTGCCCATGCGGTATAAGGGCTTGTTCCTACGTGACACAATGTAAGACTAATTCAGCCCAAAACGCTTTGACGGCCCCGATCGATTGCGATCATTTCGATAATCATCAGGCGTCGATGTCTTCTCAAGATTAACGGCCCGGATTTCTTTTCACATTTGAATTCAATTCCATGACGGTGCAAGCGAGCGAAGTCCCTCCCATGCACGGTGCTCATTGGCCAATTGCGAGGGCTCTGTCTCCTCTCACTTGCGTCCTCCCATCCCCTCGATTTCGATTCCCAACTCCCTTCCGTTTCGATCCTCCCCTCCCCTCCGTTTCGACCCCCCTCCCCCCTCTGTTTTTCTCCCCCCCTCTCCTCGGTTTTGAATCCCTCCCCCTTTCCCCTCGATTTCAATTCCCCCTTCCCCTCCTTTTCAATTTCCCCCCCTCACTTGAGCTGTGGGCCGTCTGATATGTTAGAGTTAGTATTTTTACATTGTCTGGGAAATCAGAAATAGGCATTCCCACCCTCCAACCCACCCCCACCCGCCCTCGTCTACCCGCTTAAGTACTAGGCTAGCGAAGACTCTGCCTACAACTAAAAAAATTGTCACTACATTACAAAAATTGTCACTACTGAAGATGATGTGGCACTTCGGGCATGCTTACGGCCGTTGTTGAAGACGACCCTGATTACATTATGTGAACCCTGGGAATTTCAGGGTTTCGGGTTTTTTAACACTGACCAATCAGAGTAGGCAAAATTTGAAAACAGAGCCCTCAGTTTTTTTGTTTTGTTTTTTTTTTTTTTTGGTTTGTTTTCGTTTTGTTTTGTTTTTGTTTTTGTTTTTTTTTTGAAAGCTAAGGGTGGGTTTTTTTGAAACCTCAGCCCTGGTGTGAGCTCTCCGTGCCTCAAGTGCTCCATGCCTAGCTATATTCAAGCCCTCTGTTGTTTTGATGTTGCATCAATGTATTGTTTTGATGTTGCATCAATGCATTGTTTCCTCGTTACTACCAATATTCCACATTCGCTGTTTGCGCCACACAATACCTGGCCATCAGAGTTATCGATCCTCAGCCTTGCGCTCTAGTTCCGCTTCTGCAATACCGACACTTAGGGAGGCAAGTGCCCTGTGCTTACTGCATATCCGTTGTTCTGGTAATTTAACATAACAATTACTTGCAACCACGGCCTTGTTTGCAGTGCCAACGTGTCGAAAGCTGCCCAAATTTCCACGAAATGGTGGAGAT